TTTCCAATCAAATTTGACTAATATTTCACAAGGGTTTGACTCATTTGCGCGTTTTCAATCAAATTTGACTAAAATTTCATATGACTTTGGCTCATTAGCACATTTTCAATCAAATTTAACTAAAATTCCACATCGGTTTGGTTTATTGGCGCGTTTCCAATCAAATTTGATTAAAATTTCACCTAAATTTAACTCATTGGTGAGTTTTTAATCAAATTTGACTTAGATTTTCTTCCAGATTTTGTTCGATAGAGCATTTTCAATCAAATTTGACTAAAATTTCATCTGAATTTTGTTCATTAACGCGTTTTCAATAAAAATTTGACTAAAATCTCACAGGACTTCGGTTCATTGGCACTTTTTGAATCAAATTTAACTAAACTTTCATGCAGATTTTTTCGTTGGCACGTTTCCATACAAATTTGACTGAAATTTCACATGAGTTTTGTTCATTGGAGCGTTTCCAATCAAATTTGACCAAAATTTCTCCTAGGTTTCGTTCATGGGCTTATATCAAATTAAATTTGACAAAAATTTCATCTGAATTTTGTTCGTTGGCGAGTTTCCCATCAACTTTGACGAAAATTTCCCATGAGTTTGGTTCATTGGTGCGTTTCCAATCATATTTGGCAAAAATTTCTCTGGGATTTAGTTCTTTGGCGTGTTTCTAATCAAATTTAACTAAAATTTCACCAAAATTTTGTTCGTTAATGCATTTCAAATCAAACTCGACTAAAATCTCATTTGCATTTTGCTCATTGGCTTGTTTTCAATCAAATTTGACTAAAATTTCACATGATTTTGGTTTATTGGCGCGTTTCCAATCAAATTTGATTAAAATTTCATCAGAATTTATTCAATAGCTTATTTCTAATCAAGTTTGACTAAAATTTCTTCTCGATTTTGTTCAATGGCAAGTTTTCAATAGAATTTGAATAAACTTTCACTTGAGTTTGGTTCACTAGCACGTTTATATTCAAATTTGACTAAATTTTACATGAATTTGGTTCATTGGCACATTTCGAATCAAATTTGACTACAATTTCCTGTAGGTTTTTTCGTTGGCAGGTTTCCAATCAAATTTGACTAAAATTTCACAAGGTTTTGGCTCATTGGCGCGTTTCCAATCAAATTTGACCAAAATTTCACATGACTTTGGTTCATTGACACATTTAGAATCAAATTTAACAAAAAATTCAAGTGGGTATTTTCGTTGGAGCGTTTCCAATCAAATTTGATTCAAATTTCACAGGGATTTAATTCATTGGCGAGTTTCTAATCAAATTTGGCTAAAACTTCACCAGGATTTTGTTCGTTAGAGCATTTTTAATCGAATTTGACTAAAATTTCATTTGAATTTTGTTCTTTGGCACATTACCAATCAAATTTAACTAAAATTTCACATAACTTTGGTTCATTGGCACATTTCGAATCAAATTTGACTAAACTTTCAAGCGGATTTTTTCGTTGGCGTGTTTCCAATCAATTTGACTAAAATTTCACATGAGTTCGTTCATTGGAACGTTTGTCCATTTTCCATCAAATTTAACTTAAGTTTCACATGAGTTTGGTTCATTGGCGTGTTTTCAATCAAATTTGACAAAAATTTCACCGAAATTTAGTTCTTTGGCGTGTTTCTAATCAAATTTGACTAAAATTTTACCAAAATTTTGTTCGTTAGTTCGTCTCCAATCAAATTTGACTAGAATTTTATCTAAATTTTGCTCGTTGGCGCGTTTTCAATCAGATTTGTCAAAACTTTCAACAGAGTTTGGTTCATTGCCTCGTTTATATTCAAATTTGATTAAAATTTCACATGACTTTGGTTCATTGGCACATTTCGAATCAAATTTGACTATAGTAACATGCGGGTTTTTTCGTTAGCACGTTTCCAAGCAAATTTGACTAAAATCTCACAAGGGTTTGGTTCATTGTCACGTTTCCAATCAAATTTGATTAAAATTTTATATGGTTTGATTCATTGGCGCGTTTCCAATCAAATTTAACCAAAATTTCATATGGGTTTGGTTCATTAACACATTTCCAATCAAATTTGATAAAAATTTCATTGGGATATAGTTCGTTGGTGCGTTTCTAATCAAATTTGACTAGTATTTCACCAGAATTTTGTTCATTAAAGCATTTACAATTAAATTTGACTAAAATTTCATCTGAATTTTGTTCATTGGCGCGTTTTCAATCAAATTTGACTAAAATTTCACCAAAGTTTGGTTCACTGGCGCGTTTCCAATCAAATTTGACAAAAATTTCCCATGACTTTAGTTCATTTGTGCATTTCAAATAAAATTTAACTAAAATTTCAAGTGGGTTTTTCCGTTAGCGCATTTCAAATCAAATTTGACTACAATTTCACTTTTGTTTGGTTAATTAGCGTGTTTTCAATCAAATTTGACTAAAATTTCACCTAGATTTCGTTCATTAGCGTGTTTCTAATCAAATTTGACTAAACTTTCACCGAATTTTGTTCATTCGTGCGTTTCAATTCGAATTTGACTAAAATTTCATCTAGATTTTGTTCAATAGCGCGTTTCCAATCAAATTTGACTAAAATTTCACACGATTTTAGTTCATTGGCACATTTCGAATCAAATTTGACCAAACTTTTAAGCGAATTTTTTCGTTGGCGCGTTTCCATTCAACGTTGACTAAAATTTTACATGATTTTTGTTCATTGGAATGTTTCCAATCAAATTTGGTTAAAATTTCACTTAGGTTTCATTCATGGGCTTGTATCAAATCAAATTTGATGAAGATTTCATCTGAGTTTTGTTCGTTGGCTCACTTCCCATCAAATTTGCTAAAATTTCGCATGGGTTTGTTTCATAGGCATTTCCAATCAAATTTTACAAAAATTTCACCAGAATTTAGTTCATTGGCATGTTTCTAATCAAATTTGACTAAAATTTCACCAGGATTTTGTTCGTTAGTGCGTTTCAAATCAAATTTGACTAAAATTTCATATGGATTTGGTTCAATGGCGCGTTTCCAATCAAATTTGATTAAAATTTCACTGGGATTTAGTTCATCGACGCGTTTCCAATCAAATTTGATTAAAATTTCACCGGTATTTAGTTTATTGGCGCGTTTCTAATCAAACTTGACTAAAACTTCACAAGGATTTTGTTCGTTAGAGCATTTCCATTCAAATTTGACTAAAATTTCATCTAGATTTTATTCATTGGCTCGTTTTCAATCAAATTTGACTAAAATTTCACCTGACCTTGGTTCATTTGCGCGTTTCCAATATAATTTTACTAGAATTTCTTATGACTTTGGTACATTGGCACATTTTGAAACAAATTTAACTAAAATTTGAAGCGAATTTTTTCGTTAGCGCGTTTTCAATCAAATTTATTTAAAATTTCACTTGGATTTCGTTCGTTGGCATGTTTCTAATCAAATTTGACTAAAATTTCACCTGCATTTTGATGAGGTTCGTGTGGAAGAACAAGCACTCGCATATTTGGAACGCTTGGATTGTCGGCGTTCGAAGAATTGAGCGTAACTTTTGCAAACGATGTCCGTTTTGGGCCCATAAGTACTTTTCGAAAAGGTAGCGACCGTTTTGGATTGAACTCACCACATTGTCATGATGTATGAGGGATTTTGGCTGTTTGAGATCGTTTGTTGGGTCAAAACTGCATTTCATATTTATTAGTTCATCTTTTTTAATATTTCTTATTTTTACATTGTAGCCCAACCCATTTAGGGACTGCTGGCCCAATAGTTTACCTAATTCTTGTCGTACTTAAACCCTCAAAAACGTGTGTTTGTTTTTTCCTTGGTTGTTGAAGAAATAAAAAAAGTTATTATTTCTTGCATCAATCCTTGAGAGCGAATATTTGTTTGAGTTCGTAGATCAAATCTACATCATCCGGTATCAGAGCATGGTTAGAGGAAGAGGACGTACTGGTCGCAGTGGCCGTGCTGGCCAGGTCGATGAAGTGGCAGATCTACGAAACCAGGTCAAGGCATTAACAGTTTGATTCGATCAGTTTATGATGTGGACGGTGGAGATCGTACAGAATGGAGCGCCTTCTGTCCCTCCATGTCCTGCCCTAGCGAGTGATGGGGACGGAGGATATGAATCAGGCAAGGTGACAAATGAGACGTTGTTGGAAGTACGTGGTGGTCGTGTTCAACAGCCACGTACGCAACAATAGGACGTATTTCATCGTTGGGAATCTGGATTCAAGGTGGATCTGCCTGAGTTTTACGGTGGAATAGAGGTGGAAGAATTTCTTGATTGGCTAGCAGCAGTAGAGGAGATCTTGGATTACAAAGAAGTACCCGACGATAAGTGGGTACCCTTGGTGACGATCCGCTTACAGGGTTGTGCTACTTCTGGGTGGCAACAACTCGGATTCATCAGGGCAAGGTAAAGAGCTAGTCTTGGGAAAAAATGGAGAAATAGTTGAAGGAGGCGTTTTTTCCCTTCAACTACACCAAGACCTTGTACCGGTGCTTGCAGAATTTAAGGCAAGGAAATCGTTCTTTGGATGCTTATTCCACAGAATTTTACCAGTTAATAGTGCGTAATGATGTGGGAGAGTCAGAAGACCAGTTGGTGGCGCGCTATATTGGTGACCTACGGTCGAATCTACAGGATGTTCTTAATATGTTTTCGTCGGTGTCTGTTTCTGAGGCTCATCAACGTGCGCTTCAGGCCGAGATACAGCAAAAGCATCATTCTATAGTTGGCAATTCTGGTGGTCCATCTGGAGGTGGGGGTCAAACATTCACCCCAAATCCCACATCTGGTCAGTCCCAATCCTCTTCATTAGGGGGTCAGGGCATTGATCCAAACACTCGATCAGCAGCCCCTCAAACCGCTAACCCGGGTGGCTGGGCTCCTCCTGGTGGATGAGGGCTTGGTAGTCAGTGTTTTGGTTGTGACGACTTTGGCCATTTGAGGAGGGATAGTCCATCCCAAGGACAATCACGACCAGGTTTATTCATCGGAGGAGGGACACAAAACGATGCACAGGCTCATGCTCATGAGGTAAAGGAGGAAGACGAATCTGAAGTTGTGCATACATGTGACATGGGTCCTCTGTTAGTAGTACGACGGGCATGCCTTACACCTAAAGGGTTGGCTGAGGAATTGCAGTGAAATAACATATTTCTATCCACTTGTACCATTGGCGGGAAGGTGTGTAGGTTCATCATTGACGTGGACAATTGTGAAAATGTGATATCTGAGGTGGCTGTGCAGAAATTGAAACTAACCACGGAACCCCACCCTGCTTCCTACAGTTTGGCATGGTTGAAACAAGGTAATGAAATTTGTGTTACTAGTCATGTGTTCGTAACTTTCTCCATTAGCAGTGCGTATCGTAATAGTGTTTGGTGTGATGTGGTGCCTATGGACGCTTGTCATTTGTTGTTGGGCCGTCCATGGCAGTTTGATAGGGATGTGTGTCATGAAGGGCGTCGAAACGTGTATACATTCACCTTTTCGGGTAAAAAAATTGTACTACTACCCTCCGAAGATGCTCAGTGTATGTCTTCGGTAGGGGACAGTAGTAACTTACTTTCTCGATCCTTGTTTGTACGTGAAATGTTGGCAGAAGGTGTCGTCTTGTTATTAGTCGGAACTGAAGTGACGGGAGTGTCGACAGTTCCTATTACAAGTGAGGAGGCGGATCTTCACCCTAAAGTAGCCACTTCAATTTCTGAGTTTCAGGATGTATTCCCAGCTAACCTTCCACAGGGTCTTCCACTTTTGAGGGATATACAACATCAAATTGATTTAGTACCCCGCGCATCACTGCCTAACCGTCCACATTATCGAATGAGCTCGGCAGAGCATGAGGAGTTGAGGAGACAGGTAGAAGAGTTAGTGCAGAAGGGTTACATCAAAGAAAGCCTCAGCCCGTGTGCAGTCCCCGCGCTTCTAGTGCCAAAGAAAGATGGGAGTTATCGGATGTGCGTGGACAGCAGGGTCATCAATAAAATAATAGTTCGTTAACGTTTTTCGATACCAAGGTTGGATGACTTACTTGACCAATTGGCCGGAGCAACAGTATTTACCAAACTAGATTTGAAGAGTGGCTACCATTAGATTCGAGTCCACCCTAGTGACGAATGGAAAACAGCGTTCAAAACACGGGAGGGATTATTCGAGTGGCTAGTAATGCCCTTCGGACTGTCCAATGCACCTAGCACGTTCATGTGGGTAATAAACCAAGCACTTCGACCATTTATTGGTAAGTGTGTTGTTGTTTACTTTGATGATATATTAGTCTACAGTGGGTTGGAGGAGCCTCATGATGTGCATTTGAAGAAAGTCCTTACTGTTTTGCGTAAAGAAAAGTTCTTTGCAGCCTTTAAGAAGTGCGTATTTTATACTGATAGTGTTCTATTTTTGGGGTATGTGGTGTCAGCCGGTGGAGTAACAGTGGATTCGGCTAAGGTTGATGCAATCCGTCAATGGTCGTGGACGTATTCAGTTTCTGATGTGCGGAGTTTTCATGGTTTGGCGTCATTCTATCGAGGATTTATTCAACATTTTAACACCATCATGTCTCCCATTACTAAGTGCATGAAGCAGAGTTAGTTTCAATGGACGCCCGAGGCGGAGAAAGCATTTATGGTTATTAAAGAGCGCCTGACTTCAGCCCCAGTACTTGCGCTGCCTAATTTCACAAAACCTTTTGCATTACATTGTGATGCCTCTAAATTGGGCATCGGAGCTGTTCTCAGTCAGGAAGAAAAACCAATAGCTTATTTTAGTCAGAAATTGGGAGGGGCTCATGGGAGATATAGTACTTATGATACAGAATTTTATGCCATTGTTTAGGCTGTTCGTCATTAGCGACATTATCTATTTCAGCGAGAGTTTATCTTATACAGTGATCATGAAGCCCTCAAGCATCTGTCTAGCCAAGATTCCGTGTCTTCCCATCACACATCTTGGATTACCTTCTTACAGCAGTTCAACTTTGTCATTAAACATCAGGCTGGCTCTTCTAATCGTGTGGCAAATGCACTCAGTCATCGGCACGGATTATTAGCACGCCTACAAGTGGCAGTTACTGGGTTTAAGACCTTTGCCTCTCTTTATGCTGATGATCCTTATTTTAGCCCCATCTTTTACCATCTACTGCAAGGTCCTTATTTCCCCTTTCTGTTAGAGGATGGTTACGTGTTTCGGGGTGTTCAGTTGTGTATACCAAATTGCAGCCTCCATCTGAAATTAATTGAGGAATTTCACGGCGAGGGTCATGTTGGCCGAGATCGCACTTTAGCTCCGGTCAGCACTTCATTTTTCTGGCCTACTATGCGCCGTGAGGTGGAGAAGTTTGTTTAGCAGTGCAGGGTGTGTCATGTAGCAAAAGGCAAAGCCACCAACGCTGGCCTTTATCAACCCTTACCAATGCCTTTAGCCCCATGGACTGATATTAGTATGGATTTTGTTCTAGATTTACCGCGCACTCAGCATGGTAATGACTCTATTTTTGTGGTGGTGGATTGCTTTTCAAAAATGGTGCATTTCATCCCTTGTAAACGTACTACTGATGTTGTCAAGGTTTCGCAGCTATTTTTCAAAGAGATTTATCATCTTCATGGATTGCCCACTTCTATTGTGTCTGATAGAGACACCAGATTCTTCGGTCATTTCTGGCGGAGCTTATAGAAGTCAGTAAACACATCGCTCAATTTTATTAGTACTTATCACCCTCAAACAGAAGGACAGACTGAGGTCGTGAATCGTTCTTTGGGAGATTTGCTGCGGTGCCTAGTTGGAGATAATCTCCGCTCCTGGGATCAATGACTTAGCCAAGCAGAGTTTGCGTATAATCATGCTCGAAACAGGAGTACGGGCTTCAGTCCATTTCAGGTTGTGTACAGTATTCTGCCCTGCAGCCCTGTGGACCATTTGATAAGTGTGTTTTTACACACTTATTTGGTTCACAAACATGATTTAAACATGGATAAAATGGTTGAATTGTGACTTAATCCAGTTAAATTCGTGCATTGTAGGTAATTCAATGGAAATTGTGGAATTCAGGAGAAAAGAGCCGAAGAAAGACCAAAACGCAACAATTTGATAGTTCGAGGACCAAAGGTACAAATATTGAAAAATTGAGCTAAATGCAAAACGAGAGTAGAAACATGCCAAGGATGAGCTCAATAACAAAGCAAAACAAGTGGAGGAAGAAAGAATGGAAGATGGACTAAATTGAAGATAATTGAAAGTTGGAGGACTAAAGTGCAAATACTCAAAAGATGTGCCGAATGAGTGGCAAAATATTTGAAAGTTTCGATCATCAA